TGGGTCATTTCTCTGCTAGAAGAATCTTTGGCAACACAGCAGTAATTCAGCTCACTTCAACAAACATTTATTGAGCATATGCTATGGATAGAGAGCAGGCCTCAGACTCAAGGTAACCTAGGTTCAAATCTCACCTCTGATACATAGCTAGCTTTGCAACCTCAAGCAAATTATTTAACCTCTCTCTATCTCAAGTAACCCTCTAAGATTACAAGTAGCAGGATAATCCCAGACCTGTTTTGGTTTCCTTATCCAGAGTTCCCTGCACCAGTGAACAATAGAAAGTCGCTGAAGGTTTAGGAGAGGGGAGTGACATAAGTATGAATGGAGGAGATTGTTTTGTCAGCAGCATGAATGATGGCTTGGAAAGCTTAGAAACCAGAAATGAGAGCAGCCAGAAGTCTGTTATAGTAGTCTAGGTGAGAGGTTGCAGGAACCTGAATTAGTGTGACAGTAAGAGAAAGAGCTGAGAGCTGAGGATGAATAGATGAGTGGTACAGAAGAACAATCAATAGGACAGGGCAACTGATTGGATTTTAGAGGTGGCAAAGAGAGAAAAACCCAAAGGTGATTCAGAAATTTTGAGATAAGGTGACTTGGAGGGTACTGGTATCATCAATGGAACTAGAGCATGAGGGGAAAAAAATCTAAGGGGAGAGCCAATTATGTATTCTTTTTATGACACTGTATTTAAACATCCAATGAGACATCTAGGCAGAACTATCTTATCTAATGGGCCATTGGAGATACAAGACTAGTGCTTTGGGGAGAAATCAGAGTTGGCTATGGAGATTTGGGAGTCTTCTGCAAGAAGGTGATCACTGAATCATAAATTTAGAACTGGAAGTCACCTTAAGGGCCATCGAACCCATCTGACAGTTGAGGAAACTGAGATCTAGGTGACTTGCCAAGGGTCACACCATTAGTATCCAAGATGGGCTCTGAACTCAAATCTGCCTGACACCAAGTTCAGCATACTATCTACTGTATATGATGCCGCAGAAGTAGATGAGATTGCCAAAGGAAAGCCCGTAGAAAGAGAAGAAAGGAGGGCTGTTTGAGAGACTTGTCACTGTACAGCAGGGGTGGCCCTTCTCTAGTCTCCATCTCTTTGTGTGAGATTGGAGCACAAACCATGGACCATCTCCCACTCTTTTACCCCTTCCATTAGATTATGTAAGGATAGTGACTGTAACATGGCACGCTCATGAGATAGTTCCCAATCCATGCATCAAGACAGGTTGTGATTAAGTACTCCCCTCTCGTCAATCTTCAGTAAAGACATTAAGAGAATGAGTGGGGTTATGTGAAGCACCTGCTGACCTTCACAGAATCATAGAATGGAAGAGTCAGGAGGGACTTTGGAGGTCATTTAGTCTAACCCCCTCATTTTACAGATGAGGAAATTAAAGCCAAGGGCAATGACGTACTCATCCAGGGTCCCTCAACAAGTGAGGAGCAGAGCCAGGATTTGAATTCAAGCCTTCTGATTTGAAGTCCAGTGCTGTTTCTTCTAAAGATCCAGAAGAGGCTTTAGAGATCATCCAAACCCCTTGTTTCTTTGTTGCCTCCAATAAGGAATATGTTAAATAGCTTCTTTCTAATTCCATGCCTTAGTTCCATTAATGGACTCCCCTGCAATGCCCCCCCACCATTTCTTTTTTTTTTGTTTTGTTTTGTTTTTTGTTTGTTTGTTTTTGCTTTTTGGTGAGGGGGTTAAGTGACTTGCCCAAGGTCACACAGCTAGTAAGTATTAAGTGTCTGAGGCTGGATTTGAATTCAGGTCCTCCTGACTCCAAGGCCAGAGCTCTATTCGCTGCACTACCTACCTGCCCCTTTTTTCTTTTTTTTTTAATAGTTTATATTTTTTTATTTTTAAAATTTTAATAGTATTTTATTTTTTCCTATTACATGTAAAGGCAATTTTCAACATTCATTTTTGAAAGATTTTGAGTTCCAAATTTTTCTCCCTCCTCCCCTCCTCTCACCTTTCCCTGAGATCACAAGCAATTTGATATAGGTTATACATGTGCAATAATGTAAAACATATTTCTACATTAGTCATATTGTAAAAGAAGAAACACGACAAGAGGAAAAAAAAACATGCAAAAAAGTGAAAATAATATGCTTTGATCTGCATTCAGACTCCATCACTTCTTTCTCTGAATGTGGATAGCATTTTCCATCATGAGTCTTCGGAATTGTCTCAGATTATTGTATTGCTGAGAAGAGCTAAGTCAATCATAGTTGATCATCACACAGTGTTACTGTAACTGTGTACAACATTCTTCTGTTCTGCTCACTTCACACAGCATCAGTTCATATAAGTTTTTCCAGGTTTTTTGGAAATCTTCCTGCTCATGATTTCTTATAGCACAATAGTATACCATTACATTCATATGCCACAACTTGTTCAGCCATTCCCCAATTGATGGGCATTTCCTTAATTTTCAATTCTTTGCCACCACAAAAAGAGCTACTATAAATGTTTTTTCAACATGTAGGTCCTTTTCCCTGTTTCATGATCTCTTTGGAATACATACCTAGTAGCAGTTATTGCTGGATTAAAGGGTATGTATACTTCTATAGAGCTTTGGACATAGCAAATTGTTCTACCAGAATAATTGGATCAGTTCACAACTCCACCAACAGTACATTAGCATCCCAATTTTCCTACATCCTCTCCAACATTTATCATTTTCCTTTTCTGTCATATTAGCCAATCTGATAGGTGTGAGGTGGTACCTCAGAGTTTTAATTTGCATTTCTCTAATCAATAGTGATTCAGAGCATTTTCTCATATGAGTATAGATAGCTTTGTTTTCTTCATCTGTAAATTGCCTATTCATATCTTTTGAATTGCTTGTTCATATCCTTTGACCTTCATTTCTTTAAAGCCATTGTTGCCTTCTTCCATTTTTACAAATTTGAGTTGTAATTAAGAAGACCATATATAATCTTCCCTGGTATGAGGAGTTCAAATCCTGGGGTGAATTAGTCTAGATTACTCTAGATCAAGGTTTGTAACCTGGGGCTTGTGAACTTGTATTTTTATAACTGTATTTCAAGATAATTAGTCCTTTGTAACCCTATGTATTTTACTTTATGCATTTCAAAATGTTATTCTGAGGAGGGATTCATAGACCTCAACAGACTGCCAAAGTGGTCCATGACATAAAAAAGGTTAAGATCCCCTGCTTTAGATTCTGGGTGTTTTCTAGTGGCCCTTCCCAGGATAACATTCTCCAGAATCTCCAAAATAACGTTCTTTAAAAAAAAAAAAAATAGTAACAAAATAGTTACTGTACCTGAGCTGGGAGCAGAATAGTCCACCAAAAGAAAAAAGAGATGCTCCTTAGAGATCTGGGTTAGGCTCCCAGTTCTATCCTTAACTAGCCCAAGTGACCTTAGGCAAGTCATTTAACTTCTTTGGGAACCAGTTTCCTCATTTAGGAAGTTATGGTGTTAGATTAGGTGACTCCCCTTAAGGTTCCTTCTGGCTTTTACATTCTATGGTTCCTTCAAAAATTAGATTAGTTACCCCAATTGTAATTTTGTAGTTGAATTCTTTATCTCAGTCAGTCAATAAACATTTATTAGCATCTACTATGTGCCAGGCACTGTGTTAAATGATAAGGATACAATCCAATGAGGGAAGACAACACAAGAAAAGGAAGCTGAAAAGGGAGGGAAGGGGGCATGGAACATGGGAAAGAGGGTTCATGATAAAGAGTGCAGTTGAGTGGGAATGAAAATCTGGTTGGCCTGGGTCTACTCCTTAAGTGGAGATTATGGGAGGAACTCTGTTCTCTGCCTTCCAGGGGACAGAGAGTACTGATGAGATATGAGTACAAGGGGTGATGTGATCATACAGGATGATGAAGTTCTTATAGGCATAATGGAGAATTCCAAAGAAGTATGGCCAGTAGGAAATGATTCCAAGTGCAGTTTTCTGTTTCCTAGTGAAAAGACATCTTACTGGGCCATATATTATCCAGAGTCTCAGTAGACCTGTGTTCTTACTCATCTCAACTACTTACTTGGTTTATGGTCCAAAGTTAATTTTATCCATCCTGTGCTACTCTCTTGACATCCTAGGAAAATAGGATTAATAATCCTAATCTATCTCTTACGGTTGTACTGAAATTTAATGACAATTATTGTGCAAGATTCATTCCACTGAGGACATTGTGTGATAGATGATTATGTCAGGAATACCCTAGATTGGGAAAGCAAATACGATTCTCTGAGACAGTAGTTTAAACCCTGATAAGAACTGGTATTGCATTAATTTTGATGCAATCGGATTTTGCAACATGGTATTATGGAAAGTATGCTGGACTTGGGCCAGGATACCTCGGTTCAAATCTCACCTCACACATGTATTAGATATATGACCTTGGGGCAAATTACTTAACCTTTCTGGACATCATTGTGTTCATCTGCAAAATTAGTGGCCTTCCAGTCTTAAATTTATGAGCCTATGATTCTAAGTCATTTAACCTCTCAGTCTCATTTTTTTCTTCTGTAAAAGGACAGCAATGTTTTCCTGACTTACCTTAAATGGTTGTTGTGGAAGAAGTATTTTGTAAACCTTAAAGTCCTACGTATATATGTTATTCTCGGGGAGGGAGAGGAAAGGAAGGAAGAAGCATTTATATAGCATCTACTATGTGCCAGGCACTATGCTAAATATTTTACAAATATCTCATTTCATCCTCACAACAACCCTGTAAGGTGGATTGTATTATTATCTCCATTTTACAGTCTAGTAAACTGAGGAAAACAGAGATTTAAATGACTTGCCCAGGGTCACACAGCTAATAAATGTCTGAGGTCAGAACTGAACGCAGGTTTTCCTGACTCCAGGCCCAGCACTTTATCCACTGTGCCTCCTAGCTGCCATCACTAGTTTTGTTTTTACTCAGACCTAACACCTAGCACCTAGTACCCTGTGTTTCCTCAAAGGTGGTTAACGGTTAAGTATTGTTTTCAAACAGGGACGAAGAGGCCTCGGCTCTGTTTTCGTCTGGGCATCTGGAAATGGAGGAAGAAGTAAAGACCACTGCTCCTGTGATGGGTACACCAACAGCATCTACACTATCTCAATAAGTAGTACTGCTGAAAGTGGGAAGAAACCATGGTATCTGGAAGAGTGTTCATCTACACTGGCCACAACGTATAGCAGTGGAGAATCCTACGATAAGAAAATCGTATGTTTGAAAATCTAATGTCTACTATTTTTTAAATCCCATTATATCAAGGTAAAGAAAAACTGACTGATAATGCAAGGGGAAGAATAAGTAGATGCATACAAGCCATGACTTAGAAGGTTAATCAGCTGCCTGGAAGGCTTTCACCTTTAAAACAACAACGACAAACCCAAACCATTTACTGTGTATTTGAGTCTTTTTACTTTGGTTTAATTTCTCAGAGGATCATAGCTAGAGCTAGATAGTCCAACACCATTGTTTTTTGTATAAGGAAATTGAAGTCTAGGAAGATGGCATTCTTTACCCAAGGTAACACAGGCAATAAGTGTCAGAGATGAGATTTGAACCTGCCTCCTGTGACTTCAGAGCGAGGGCTCTTGTATTTTCTTCCACAAATGACCGATTCAGGGAATGTGCATTCCATCAGGAAGCAGGGGATTTAGTGGAAAGAACACTGTATTAGGAATCAGGAGAGCTGGCTTCTAATCCCATCTCTGCCACTAAATAGCTATGTGACTTTATGCAAGTCACTTACTTCTTACTTTCGTTAAACTTTGTGTGCAAGATACTATGCCAGGTGCTGGTTGTTCAGAGACAAAACAAGACCCCTTCCCCCAAAAAATAGTCCCTGCCTTCCATCCTCATATTCTATGGGGATAATAATAGGTATATCTCATAAGGTTTGCTCTGTGCACCAACTGAAATAATGTGTGTAAAAACCTTTGCAAATTTTAAAGTCTTATGCAAACATTAGCTGCTATTATTATGATTATCACCAACATTGTTTTTCCTCTCTGTGGCTTCTTTAGCTATTAAATGAGAGGGCTTATGCTGGAGAAGAAGTGTTTGGATAGATTTCATGGGGCCTATGAACTTAGATGCAAAAATATTTGCATCTTTATTTTTATTAACTTCTAGTTGAAATTTAACATTTCCTCTGATGATTTTAAAATGTGATTCTGAAAAGGGCTTCATAGGCTTCTCCTGACAGCCAAAGGGGTCCACGACACTAAAAGAAAAAGAACATCTTCATTAAGTGATCTCTGAGGCCTCTTCCACCTCTAACAATTTATGAGTCTATAAAAGAGCCAAACAATAAGTTTTGAACTACTATTAATCTAGTGTTATTTAAAAGCAAAAGTCAGATATACGTGATTTTCCAAATAAGCAATACCAATTGTACCTCAGAAGTAGAAGTGTGTTTTTCCAGTCAATCATCAATATGCCTTTCTATCTCTCTTCTAAATCTTGGTATTGGTAGACTTTAGTACCCAGCCTTCTTTTCCTGCTGTCCAACATTGACATGACAATTTTTCATTCTGACACCTTTTCATCCTTTATCTTTTCCTGAAGTCATGCTTGTAAACTGTCCGGTGGTGTAATTTATCGCTTTGTTTGGAAGCCTAGCCATGTTACCTGACACTTTTTAGCAGGAAGTCAACAAAGTCACTTGTCAGGCTCTGGGCCCCAATTTCCTGTGAGTTCACTAAGCTCTTATTACCTTCCTCTTTCAGGTCATTCCAAAATTGCTGGAGCTGACTTTCCCCAGATACCTAGTATGCAAATGACAGAATGAGGTTAAGCCTCAGACTAAATCCTCCTAGCCCATCCTAACTTTTTTAATTGCACAGTTTTGGACAATTGAAATGAAAACCATCCTCCCTTCTCAATATCACATTGTCTCTTGGGATTTTTTTTCATCAATACTAAATTAAGAACACAAAAATTTAAATCTATATTCAGATGCCTCCAAAAGGTCCCACCTCAACTCTCTCTTCTTCTGGTGACTATATAGCCTTGAAAATTCTTTTCTTATTCTTCTAACTTTAAAGAACATAGCAGAGAAGAAATAATGCCCATTTTCATTGGAAATGATAAAGTCGGTGATTATTAGTTCTGAGATACATTTGCCTTGTGTGTGTTGCTTATACCTGCTGGTTTTTTTTAATAGGCACGTATCAAGATTTATTCACAACTATTTGATGAATACTTGTTTTTAGAGTCCTAAGTTTATTTTTTAGGCTGATAATAAAACTACCAGCAGATGAACACCAGAAAAAAGGGTAGCATATAGTGCTGTCTGATTGACCTGGTACACAAGGAAAAAATGGGCGTCATTCTTTGAAGTATTTTGTATTTTGAGAAATCATACTCTTATTCTTGTTTTTAAAATAAAAAATAAGAATAAAAAATGTGAAAAATATCCCCCTCTACCACTAAGGACCTCAGTCCTTCCAAGGCATTTTATGGAACTGATAGTCCTGCCTCAAAGTCAACGCATACATATAATGCTTCTACTCACAGCAGAGTGTATGGGGTGTTCAGGGACGATTAGCACCTCTGGTGTGAGGGATTGCCAAGCTGTTTTCATGACTGTTCATCCACCTTTGGTGTCCACCTGTACCCCAAGTCTCACTTTTGGCTCCAAGAAGCTGTAGCATGTGCAATGGCTGCACCCCAGAAAACCATCTCAGCAGATTAGCTAAACCAGGTTGAGGGTACCTAACAGGACTCAAACCCATTGGTGAGTTAGGGAGATGTCTACCCCAAGCACATAAAGACCTCCCCATGGTGGAATGGGTGGATGAGAACAATTTGTTCCTATAGCCAGGAATGCAGCTGAAGCAGGTGCTATGGAATGCTTAGAACTTGGTCACATATCAAAGATGCCAAGGTTATCCACTGCATCCTAGACCATCGTCAGTCATCCTGTTGCCCTTGCACTTCAATGACTATAGAAGAGAGAGTGAGGCTGATGATTTGTGCAAGTCTGCCTCACTTAAATCCGATTCATGCAGAAGTCAAGACATCACTCATTCATGCCATCATTAGTTTTCGAAAACAAAGGATCAACAACTACAACGACACTAGGATATTGCTAGGTTTTATTTTATTCTCCATTCCAAGAAGGGACACATGAAAAAAAGGAAGGTTAGACAAGTTTGTCTCCTCTCCAAGTCCAATAAAATATGATCCATGTTAGTTCATTAATAATAATGATGATGATAAGTATTTATATAGCACTTTAAGATTTGCAAAGTGCTTTGTAGATATGATCTCGTTTTATCCCTAAAACAACCATAGGAAGTAGGTGCCATTATTATCTTCTTTTTACCAATGAGGAACCTGAGCCAGACAGAGGTTAAGTGACTTACCCAGGGTCCCACAGCTAATAAGTGTCTGAGGTCATATTTGAACTTAGGACTTTCTGAATCCATGTTCACCACTGTATCCACCCACCCAGCTGCCTACATACAAAAATATAAAGATATAATTGGATCCTTTTATTTAATTGGGGATTTCAGGGAGAGAGAATCTGTGATTTCGTTATTGTGGGATAATCCTTCTTCTACCAGTACAAATCAGTACCTTCTACAACTCTTAGAGATTTGCTTGGGGAGCCCAGGGAAGTTAAATGACTTGCTTAGGGCTATCTAGCCAGTTTGTTCAAAAGTAGGACTTGTAACTGTCTTTCTGACTCTAAGCCTAATCGTCTCTCAGTTACTCCATGCTGCCTCTCTCCTTTATTTAATATGTAAATAATGTTGCCCATGTCATGTGATCCAAAGACAACATAAAAGCATTACTTAATTTTCTTTTTTTTTTCTTTTTCTTGTTATTTATTGGGCATTTACAGCAAGCACTCTTTTATCTTGAAAAGATCAGTGGGGTTTCTATGCCCTGGGATGCTGGCCATCCATTCGCAAAGTTTTAGTTATTTTTGGTTGCCTTGTTTGGGTGGGCTGTTTTGATTCCTTCTGACTTAACCTTTCATTCCAGTAATTTTTCTGCATGTTTTCTTTGCTTTTCCTCTGCTGAATCCTTATCTTGGTGCATAGTGTGTTTTCCCCATTCCTGGTGATAAAGGAAAGTGCAAAAGGGTCATTAGATTTCCCTGTAATCGCTGTTCATAGATTCAAAGAATTACAGAGCTGGAAAAGACCTTAAGAGATCATGTCTCCAGGCTAGTCCTGTGATAAGTTCCCAAATGCTGATGTGACATGCAAGATGACACATTTAGTTAGTGGCAGCGCCAATACTTACAATCCAGATCCCCTAACTCCTTGGAACAACTAGTCATAGTTGCTCTTGTGTGCTTTGTCTCCCTGAGTTTATTTATTCGATGTAAAAACTCAGAGGGTGAATTTTAGAAAACTATCAGCTGCCAAACTCTCGATTATAGTGAGGCTCTACTGACAGTACATTCAATACCATGGGCTAACATATCTGAGGGTCTACTCACAGAGGAATGCTTAACTCTACCTTAGGCTGCTCCAGAGGAATGAGCAGTAGAACTTTTCTGAGAGTTAAAATGGATATGATGATATTTAACTGATTCATAAAATCTCTGGCCCTTGGATCTTCAGATTCTACATTGTAAATCTTGGCTGGTCTATTTTTCCTGTTAACTGCATGTTTTGTTTATTTTTTAAACTCTTGTTCTGATTTCCTACTCCATTTTAAAGGTGATTTTTCTCAGTACATCATTCAAATGATTTGATCTTGTTGGGGCAATGTAATTTTTGTGTCCAGGTAGCCAAGAGACCTAAGTTTCTATGAGGTGTGGTATAGTGGGGAGAGTGCCTGGGCCTGAAGTCAGAACACCTAGCTTGGATTTCTGATTCTGCCACCCATTAACTAGGTAGTCCATTTTCATATAAATTATTTGCATATGTGTGTCTGTTTGAGATTGGACCTGATTTCATTGGTAAAAAGGAATTAGAATTCCTTCTAACAAGGGAACTCCATCAATAAATGCAAATCTAATATAGGCAATGGGGTATAGAAATCTATCCTGCCCTATAGGAAAATAGAAGGGAAAGAGGATAAGAGAAGGGTGGGGGAGGGAAGATAGAAGGGAGGGCAGATTAGGAGAAGGGATATTCAGAATGCATGCTGTCTTGGGGTGGGGGGAGGGATGAGATGGGGAGAAAATTTGGAACTCAAAATCTTGTGGAAGTTGAAAACAAAAAATAAATAAATTAAAGAAAGAAAAAAAT